TTTTGGTCGTCTTCGACCGGAGATGCGCCAGCGTTTGGGACCCCAAGACCCGAACCGCCAGCAAGAAGACGTACAGATGCAGGAGGCCAGCCAGGAGGCCTCATCTGGGTATAGCGGGTCGAGATCTCACCGACGGCGACGCGCTCGGGATACAGCCCAAGCTGCTCAAGCCGCCGAGCTCAACGAGACCCGAGGATTACTCTATAACCTCCAGGCGGAATTTGCGCAATTCAGAAACGCGCACCCTGCAGCAACCCCGGTTGGACAACCGACCCTGAACCAGACGCCTTTCACAGCGGCGGTAATGGCTCAGCCTTACCCGCTCGATTTAAAGGTCTCTGGAGAGAAGAGTTATGATGGCCGGACAGACCCTGAGGCTCACGTCAACGATTTCTACAGCAATATGACGCTGAAGGGTGTGTCAGACGTCGTAATGTGCAGGGCTTTCTATTCCACGCTTACCGGTCGAGCGGCGGAGTGGTTCCGAACGTTGCAGCCGGGTTCGATCGACAGGTTTGACACCCTGGCGGTCAAGTTTGTGAGGAAGTTTATCACTTCCAAAGTGGTGAGGAAGCCTTATATATATCTGGAGAAGGCCAAGCAACTTGAAGGCAAGAGCTTGACCGACTTCCTCACCAAATGGAAGGCGGCGGTCGGGGAGGTCGAGCCCATGGATGATGCCACCGCCACCCACATGTTACACATCTCTCTCCGGGCGGGGTATTTATATCAGGACTTCATTTTACACCCCCCGGCCACGTATGAGGAGGCCCTTCGAAGGGTCACAGATTATGCCAATGCTGGCGAGGCGAACGCCGTAAAGCGCTCGCAGGAGGTCGGGTCTTCATCCCGTAAACCGGCCGGCCGGGCGGAACACCGATCGGGTGATGACCATCCCCGATCCCGCACCAGGACTGGTGAGTTTACGGCCTTGAACCGATCTGCAGCGGAGGCCATGCAGTATGCTCAGTCTTGCAACCTCATCAAGCTTCCCCATCCCGATCGAGATGGTCCTGATAAGAGTAAGCATTGCGCTTACCACCGATGTGCTGGGCATGACACTGAAGAGTGTACCCACTTGCTCCAACTGTTGGAAGATTTGCTCAATCTAGGGAAGTTGGACAAGTGTGTGGGGAGGAGAGAGGACCCCAAGAGGAATACAGATCGGAGAGAACAGCGGCGCTCTCATCACCGCTCCGATCGGTCAGGTCAGGACCGAAGAGACGATCGAAGAGATGATCGTCGCGATGACCGATGGGACCCTGACCCTCCTTCTAGCAGCCGACCAGCAGGAAAGCCGACCATCCACGTTATTTTCGGTGGATTGGAAGACACTTACCGACCGCGAAGTAATTGCCCGGTCGCTATAGTGGATTCCCGGGAGACCGGGAAGAGGCAAAAGATGGAGCCCATAACCTTCACCTTGGAAGATCAATCCAGCAGCGGAGACCACGGCATGGAGGCGCTCGTGGTCACAATTGATGTGAAAGGGACGGATGTCCAGAGGGTTATGGTCGACACTGGCAGCAGTGTGAACGTCCTTTATTTGGACGTGTTTGAAAAGCTTGGACTAGACAGGAAGGAGCTGACTCCGGTCGGTGTACCACTGTCTGGCTTTACCGGGGCTCTTATTTACCCCGAGGGAAAGATAACGCTCCCGGTCGAGATCGGCACGGCCCCGAAGTCGATCAAGACGGAGTTAGAATTCGTTGTGGTCAACCTCCATTGTGTCCACAACATCATCTTGGGCCGACCCGCCATTATGAAGATCAGTGGGATAATTTCAATGCCTCACCTATGCATGAAATTCCTCACCCCCAATGGGGTCGGTGTAGTCCGTGGCGATGTCCAATCCGCCAGGAAGTGTTACACCCGAGCGGTTAACAGACGCGATTCCGGTTCGTCTTCCCGGGTGAACACCATAGCCAAAGAAGAGGCTAAAGATCGGAAGGAACAACCAGAGCCTTCCGAGGAGATAGAAGAAGTTCCCCTATCCGAGGACCGACCGGATAGGAAGATCAAGATTGGTCGGGCCCTCACCCCCGCTCTCCGAGCAGAAATTTTGGCCATACTCCGGGAGTATGCCGATATCTTCGCTTGGGGGCCCGAGGACATGCCCGGGATCGACCGGTCGGTTATTTGTCACAAGTTAGCCGTCGATCCCGCAGCAAAGCCGGTGGTGCAAAAAACCCAGCACCTTTCTTCCGATCGCCGCGAGTTTGTTAGAGAGGAAGTCAAGAAGATGGCGGCGATCGAGCACATCCGACCCGTGATCTATCCCGAGTGGGTGGCTAATATAGTTCTCGTTCCGAAGCCTCCAGCGTGGAGGATGTGCATTGATTTTACCGACCTCAATAAGGCCTGTCCGCTCGACCCGTATCCTCTACCGAGTATCCACCAGATGGTCGACGAGACGGCCGGGGCCGAATTGATGAGCTTCATTGATGCATTCAAGGGTTATCATCAAATCATGATGCACCATGAAGATGAAAGCAAGACAGCCTTCGTGACCCCGGACGGGCTGTATTGCTACCGAGTGATGCCGTTCGGTCTCCGCAACGCAGGAGCCACCTATCAGAGAATGGTCAATATGCTCTTTGCCGATTTGCTAGGTCGAACGATGGAAGCTTATATTGATGACATGCTGGTCAAGAGTCGGGACCGATCCGACCATACTCGAGATCTCCGGGAGTGCTTCCAGATCATGAGGAAGTACCAGTTACGGTTGAACCCAACCAAGTGTACATTTGCGGTTCAAACCGGCAAGTTCCTTGGCTATATGATGACTAAGAGAGGAATTGAGACCAACCCGGCCAAAGTAAAAGCTATTCTGGACATGCAACCACCTTCTACCGTTCGAGAAGTCCAGCAATTGACCGGTCGGTTGGCAGCCCTCAGCCGATTCCTCTCCAAGTTAGCCGAGCGCGCTTTACCTTTCTTCAAGGTATTGCGAAAGGTTAATGGATTCGTCTGGGACGAAGAATGCCGAGCGGCTTTTGATGAGCTGAAGGAGTATCTCATGTCACCAATTGTGCTCTCAAAGCCCGAGCTCGGAGAAGAGCTAGACGTATACCTCGCCGTCTCCGATCGTGCAGTAAGCGCAGTATTGTGCCGAACCGATCCGGAAGGGGTCCAGCGACCGGTGTACTATGTAAGCCACGCGCTACATGGTCCCGAGCTCCGGTACTCCCGGTTAGAGAAGGCCGTCTACGCCTTATACATCGCCGCGAAGAAGTTGGCTCCCTACTTCCAGGGTCGAGCAATTCGCGTATTGACCGATCAGCCGATCGGGCCAGTCCTCCGAACTGCTTCGTCTTCCGGTCGCCTAGTCAAGTGGGCGTTGATGTTGACCCAGTACGCGATCGAATACCGACCAAGACCAGCCATCAAGGGTCAAGCTTTAGCTGATTTCTTGGTCGAGTGCACCGCCCGGGATACCCGACCCCCCGAAGTTGCGGATCCCGAGGCTGAGTGGTGGTCGTTCGCTACTGATGGGTCGAGTAGCAAGAAAGGCGCAGGAGGAGGAGTGGTGGTTACGAGCCCGGAGGGATTCAAAGTCTACTTCGCTCTCATGTATCAGTTCCATCCGACCAATAATGAAGCCGAGTACGAAGCCTTCGTTAACGGCTTACAGTGTGCTCGGGACTTGGGGGCTGAATACATCCGAGCTCAAACAGATTTTGCGCTCGTAGTCGAGCAGGTTCTCGGAGACTATGAAGTCAATGGAGAGCGTCTGCAATTATACCGAGATCTAGCTATGGAGAAGCTTACTCAGTTCCGGGGGTATACCGTCCGGCACATCCCCTGACTGGATAATGCCGACGCGGACATCTTGTCTAAATTGGCTCAAGACGCCCCGGAACATATGTCGAAGATAGCACGAATTTTGGTGATCCCGAGACATAGCATCCATCGTCTACCGGTCAATCCGATCCAACCGGTAGAAGATAACTGGATCACCGATCTAAAGGAGTACCTCGAGCACGGTCGACTCCCAGATGACCCACAGCGTGCTCGGAAGGCCAAGCTTAGAGCCCCAAGGTTCCAAGTCTTGGACGGTCGTCTCTACAGGCGATCGTACGGGGGTCCTCTTATGCGTTGCTTGACCGCATTTGAGGCTGACCTGGTCATGAAGGAATTGCATTCGGGAATTTGTTCTTCACATCAAGGAGGCCGATCGTTAGCCCATCGTATCATGCTGATTGGGTACTATTGGCCGTCCCTCCAGCTAGACTGTGAAAAGTTAGCTCGGGAATGTGAGACGTGCCAACTGTTTGCCCGAATGCCTGGACGACCGGCAACTTTCTATCAGCCGGTAACGACTGCAATTCCCTTCGCTAGGTGGGGGGTAGACATTTTGGGCCCCTTCCCTCAGCTCTCCGGTCGGAGAAAGTTTGTGATTGTCGCCATTGATTACTTTTCCAAGTGGATCGAAGCCGAGCCCTTAGCCACGATCACTTCTCAGCAGTGCGCTCGGTTCCTTTGGCGCAATGTGATTTCCCGCTTTGGTGTGCCCGTGCATCTCATCAGCGACAACGGCTGCCAATTTGTGAGCCAATATTTTCAAAATTTCTTGGCCACGATCGGGACGACCCACGTCCGGTCGTCGGTGGCTTACCCGCAGGGAAACGGACAAGTGGAAAATGTTAACCGAACGATTTTAGAAGGTCTAAAAAAGAAGCTACACTCGGCTGGTCGTAGTTGGGCCGATGAGTTGCCATATGTGTTGTGGACTTATCGGACGACCCCGAGGGAAGCTACTTTGGAGACCCCTTTCGCCCTGGTTTATGGAGCAGAGGCTCGACTCCCGATCGAGGCTTGGATTCCGACTGATCGAGAAAGAACTTACAATGCGGAGGAGAACGAACATGCGATGGTCGTGGATCTCGACGGGGTCGAGGAAAAAAGAGAGCTAGCTGCTCGGCGTATAGCTGAGTATCAAAAACGAGTCAAGAGTTCAAAGGACGTTCGGGTCAATCCTCGTTATTTCCAAGTGGGAGATTATGTTCTACGACGAAGGGAGGCCAGTCAACCTTTGGAAGGCGGAAAGCTAGCTCAAAATTGGGAAGGGCCGTACATCATCAGCGCTATCATACGGCCGGGTACATACCGACTGGAGACGACAACCGGGTAATCGAGGGGACTTGGAATTCCGAGCACCTCGTTATGTTTAGGCACTAGCCTATTTTTTGTAATCTTTGGGCGAAGTGGGGGCTCGACCTGCGAGTTAGTCCCGGTCGTCATTTGTAATTAAATGTATTATTGTAAATGCTTCTTAACCGCCTACGAGCGGGAATGTCTAATGTATATACGATCGGTGATTGCTTGACTGTTTGTATACGGCGGCCCGATCGATTATTTTCTATACCTTTTGGTGTATGCAGATGGTTACATCGACCAAAGCGAGTTTATCGACCGGTCAAGTACGCTCCTCTTCGGCGGACAATCGGGTCACGCCATTTGATCGGGGAAGCCAGGAGCATACAGCATAATTCCCCGATCTAATCAACTTCTTTCCACTATCGCACTCACTCGTGCCTTGAGAGCACAATAGTGTGGGGGCTGGGATAAGGAAGTGTCTGTAGGCCCATCGCTCGGGACTCGGGAAAAACTTGACCGTGGGGGCTTACTTATTTTCAAAATTTCGTCAAGGCCTGGAGATCAGGTAAGCCTGATCGGGTTGGCCAACACGACGTTGACATAAGTCCGTTGTTCGGAGATATCCCGAATGTGGAGGCTTACCTATTCTCAAAATTTCGGCAAGGCCTTAGGATCGGATAAACTCGGTCGGGTAGGCCAATGAAATGTCGAAATATTGGATGTGCGACCGGGCCATAAGGCCACAAGGTCGGATATCGAGTGAGTGGAATAATGCACGACCGGGCTAAATGGCCGTGAGGTCGAGCACTTACGTTCGGTATACGCGCGTGGAAGATAAAAACGTAAAGTAAAAAACGAACGGCACGAATTAATCAAAGAGAAATTTATTAAATCCAAAACGTGCCCGGTACAACTCGGGACCGGGCTCCCGATCAGCACTACTTACACAAAAAAGCAGAATTTATTAGACCTATCCTACTTCTTCGTGGTCTCAGCATCGCCCTTCTTCGGCGGTCCCTCCTCGCTCGGGGCGGCCCCAGCTTCGATCGCCTTGGTCCGATCCTTCGGATCAAAAGGTGCGGGCCCCGGGTCGGCTACGTCGTCGGGGAGTGTGGTTAAGACCAACTGGAGGTCATCCCCTTCAAGGGCTTGCTCCATGATCTTCTTGGTCTGGTCACGCATTTTCCGTTGACCGGCTTTATACGCCCACCGGCCAAACGTCCACACCAGTTTCTCCCCGACCTCGGTGGCCCGAACGGACTGAAGAAAGCGAGCGCCCGATTTGGTGTCTTGGAAGAGATGTTGGGCGAGCTTGTCCGGGTCATTTTGGCGAGCCCTAAGTTCGGCCGCTTCCCCGATCGCCTGCTGGGCGACCTGCTCTGAGAGATCCCGCTCGGCTTTCACCTTCTTGAGCTCGGCCTCGAGGTCCCGGATCTCCTGTAATCGCCGGTTGGCGACCTTCTTCAGGGCCTCGGCTTCATTGGCCTGTAAGGCCCGTTGTTGAAGGAACTGGGCCGCTCGGGAGATCTGCAGTGCATAACACGATCGAGTTTTAGCCGAGTGGAGTTACTTAAAAGAAAACTTAAAAGAAGAAAATACGCTTACCTCAGCTAGGTCGTAGCCGATCTTCTCGGCTACCTGGCTCGGGGTCAGCTTAGAGATGTCCTCCTTAGCCGACCCGGCATTCCCGATCCGAGCGAGGATCGAAGAACCACCTTTGTTGCCGCCGCCTGAGGGCGTCGGGCTGTGCTGCTCGCGGCGCCGTTTTAGGGCCCCGGTCTCCGAGGCGGTCTTCTCTTTCGTTTTTTCTTTGCCCTTCCCGACCGCGACTCGGGCGACCAGGACCTTCGAGGCATCCACCACGTAGCCTTCAGCCGTGGTGACGGTTGATGCCCTTATCGGTCGCGCGGTCGGGATCTCCTTTTCCCCGGCCGGTTTGGCTTGGGCTTTCTTCCGGCCCAGGGAAATCTTGGTCACCGGGCGTAGAGGAACGTCCTCATCTCCAAAGCCGGCCATCTCTGCAAACAAAAACAAAGTAGGTTAGATCGAGCTAAAGGCCCAGTCGGGCTATTAGGGTCGGAGGAAGAGGTTAATGTAACACCTTTGCCCTTTCGTTTACCCCGGGCGGGCATCCTTGCGATTGTAACGCCTCGGGGTTCGGGCCTGTACTTATCGGGTATGTTGTATACGGGCTCGGGCAAGTTGGCCGCTTCGAGGGACTCGGGCGTCTTGAAGATTTGGTATTCGTAAATTTCGCCCGAGATTTTGGTGACGGCGTCTATAAGGGCCTGAGTCTCGGTTGGGATGACTTGCTTTCGAAAGCGCTGACTCCAGACCCTCTCGACCGGGAGGATCCACGGATCGTATTTCACTGAGAAGATCCGGTTCTTCCACCCCCGGTTGTTCCCAGGCAGCCCCTCAATCGAGCACTTGTCTGCTCGGGATTGGGTCATCAGGAATCCACCCCCGTACGCGGCTGCCAGCACCTTCACCTGGTAAACGAAGTTGAACAGCTCCATGGTGCAGGCTAAGTTGTGCCGACTGCAGATCAGGGGGAAGCACGCGATTATCCGGTGCGCGTTCGGGCAGATTTGTCCGGGCACCACCTGATAGTAGCCTAGGAACGCAGTAAGGAGGCTCGAGAAAGGGAAAGTGATCGGGGCCATAAGGGAGTCGTAGTGCATCCCGAGCCACTTTCCCCGGTGTCGTTCGATGACGTTCCCGAGCTGCCTGCTGGTGTCGAACTCGACCCGACCGGCAAGTGTTGCAGCAATTCTGTTTGCTTCTCCTTTTGTTAGCAAACTTTTTTGGCCCTCGACGCTTTCGCTGTTGAGGAACTCGAATCCGTCCCCGTTTGGCGTCGCCGGTCCAGCCGAGTCTTCCTCGACTGCTTCCGCTTCGTGTGCCCGGTGTTCCACCTCGGGCTCAGCTCGAGGGTAATCCCCTATTACCCTTGTGGGCGTTTCCCTAACGCCTGTATCCGGGGAGTTTCGTCCGCTCGTAGACGTCCCATCGCTCCCCGACCCGTTGGAGCTCGAGCCGGATGTCCCCGACGAGCTCGACGATCCTTCTGGCTCGGGGGCTCGGTCGGGTGTGTGTTGTGGTCGTTGCTCGACCTCTGGGGAGTAGGACATGATGTCCACCTCCTCGCTGCTGTGCTCGATCGTGCTGTCGTAGTCTGCGATCGAGGCGTTCTCGCTATCTGAATCCGACATGTTTTCTACCTAAAGGTCGGTCGCGGTTAGTACAGGGTTCGGGCAGTTAGTTCGAAGTTAGTTCTATTCTACTCCTACGCAAAGCTAAAAGCAATGTAAAAGCTAAAGAATTAAGAGCTTACCGGTTGATGATACTTGGAAGAGAACTTGAAGCTTGGTTTGCTCGACTGGTTCGTTGAACTGCTGCTCGGGACTCTCTGAGGGTACCGATTGCTTCAATGGATTGAGGAAAGTTCAAATGAAGGCCTCAAAGGCCTATTTATAAGAGAGCATTTAGGCGGGAAACCAATCCACTTGCGTGACACGACCCGCACTGATTCCGAGGCTGGCAGTGGCCGACACGTGGCGAGGGAAGGAATGACAGCTGGTCGGTCGGGTTGTCGGCCGACGTTTGGGCTTCTTCATCCCGTCCCGTTTTTCCCCGAATGGTCAAAAAGGCCCGGGCTGGGGGGCTTTTGGTAGGGAATATCCCGACCGACATAAGCTTCACCACGACCGACTTGCCTTTGTCTTTGTCTTTTTGTCTTTGCAGGTAGCAGGTCGGGCTTTTTATGAAGAACCCGGTCGGGAAGCGACCGGGAATTGCCCGAGCGTTAGTGTCGACCACCGAGTGGTAGCCCTTTGGCGAGAGAGCAGACAAAGGACACGTGGCGGCTCTTTACGACGACAGACAGGGTACTCGGGAGGATGACACGTGGTGGCTACGTGGAGAACATGCCGAACGGCCGGATCCTTGTCCCCGGCACAGCGGCTATAAATACCCATAGTAGCTACAGTGTAGAGGACTTTTGGACGATCGATAGGTTGTTATTAGAGAATCCCGACCGCAGTCAGTCGGCACTCAGAGCAACCAAGTAGATTGTACTTAGGGCCTTTACCGTGATCAATAAAGTCTTTTACTTGCTTTAATTGGTCTCGGGTTTATTTTATATTGCTTGCGTAGAATTAGCAGTATCAATAACTAATGAAAATATTTCTTTTAATTAATTTATTGATAATTAATAATTTTTTTTTTCACTGAATAAAGACATTGTAAGGATAATGTAGCGAATATAATCAATTAATAAATTTGAATATAAAGAATTTTTACATTTAAGAAAAATAAAGACAATATAACCAATGAAAATATTTCTTTTAATTAATTTATTGATAATTAATATTTTTTTTTCACTGAATAAAGACATTGTAAGGATAATGTAGCGAATATAATTAATTAATAAATTTGAATATAAATAATTTTTATATTGAAGAAAAATAAAGACAATATAACTAATAAAATTATTTCTCTTATTTAATTTATTGATAATGAATAATTTTTTTTTTTTGAATAAAGGCATTGTGGACACATAATTCTAAATTAAAGAAATGCATATGTATTATTTTTTGTTGTAACTACTAAATTATTATTTATATAATTTAATAAGAGTAAAATATAGTTTTAATTATGCCAACTTTGATTTGGATGAGGTTCGAACCTAAGACCTATTTTAATTGAAATCAATGAGTAAGTTAACGGTGAACTAACGACAATGCCAACTTTGATTTGGATGAGGTTCGAACCTAAGACCTTTTTTTATTGAAATCAATGAGTAAGTTAACGGTGAACTAACGGCAATTCTTAAAATTTTAACGGAATTAGTAACGGTGTGTGGGTATTTTAGAAAATTTTAGTGTAGAACTTAAATCTGATCAATCTTTTAATTAATCTGAGCCATTCATTTAATTAAAATCTGTGACCGCCATTTTTTCTATTATAGGCCTAACTCTCTTGGGCTCTTATTAGTATATATATATAATTTTAATTATTAGTTTAATTTACTAGTTCATTTAAAAAAAATAAAACTAGACATATCATAAGGGTAAGAGTCGGGTTAGAATGTTAGATAAGTTTAAATTTGTTATATAATTGTCGATATTAAAATATTTAACTAAAATTATTTTTTTAAAAAAACATACAAGTTTACTTTTTTTTAATCAATAAAATGATGGATTAAATAATTGGATTAATGCAAAATAACCCATTTTGCATAAAAGCATTCATTGCGTAGGGATAAACTGATCAAATTGAACATTACTGGAAAGTATATATGCAAATTAAAAGTATAGCCTAACAATCCTTGGCCGCGGAAGAAGGATATTAACTGGGTACGCCATAACAGAAAATTTGTTGTGGTAAGTTTAATGGACACGAAGTGGTATGCCGTTGAGAGGGAATTCGAGGTGGTCGGAGGCGGCGGTCACCGTGCGCTCACTGGAGTTAGTCACATTTGGGAGGAGAGAAAGAGGGGATCACCTAACGCTAACTGATACCGGATGAGAGGATAATGTGTATTCGAAAACATAGATGGAAAATACAGAGATACAAAAGGAATGAAAGACTTGCATAACTAATCCTATACAATAGGCTAGTAGTTAAGACTAATTCAATTACAACTATACAAAGATAATGTGACAATATAGTGTGACAAATATTATATCACTAATATTGAGACTAGTAATATTTAATATGTAGTTGGATGATTAATATCTAACTTTTTGACAAGGATTTTGTGCTCTAATGACACCAAGTTGTATTTTCATGTGGAAGGTTGTGAGTTCGAGCTTCAGTAGAAATGTTATTAATGACTTAGCAATGTTGGAAATTTTATCATTCAAACATAAGAATCAGATTTTATTTATTTATTTATTTTGAAAGCAAAAGGTGAGCTTATATTAATGCAAAAGCGGAATAACAAAATTCGGGGGAATAAAATCTCAATACAAACAATTAGTAGATGATTTTAGAAGCTAAAGTATGAGCAATGCATACACAAATATAAGAGTAGTATCTGTTCATATACTTTTTCAAGCTACTGAAACACAAAGAGCCAATAACACCTCCACTGAAGCTCGAACTTACAACCTTTCAAATAGAAGTCCAACCCGGGTACCATTAGACCACATAGTCTTGGTAATATCTACACATATTTAAAATTACAATAATATGTGAAAAATGCTTCTTGTAGAAAATGTTTACTAATGTTAATCATTGATTTTGGACCACCTTGTGGTTTACCCCTAATCATTGATATGAGATGATCAATGACTCAATCACTCAAAAGTAAGGAGAAAAGTGAGAAAAATACCGTGATAATTTTGTAAATATTACAAACTTTGAACGTGCATGAGACAAAATTGCGTTTAGAATATATCTGTTGATATATTAAAGTGCAACCAACTTGAATGCACTTTTATAAATCTTTAAGTGTACTATTATATATCATAGAATATACTTTGAAACTTTGTACAATGCATTTTCAATATTTGTAATATTTATAAAATTGTCACTATATTTTTTCTTTACTTTTGAATTGTTGGAGATCTCATATTGACTTCAAATTCTACTGTCAAGGCATATGTGGAAAAATGGAAACTAGATTTATTCTTTTTCTTTTTTCTTCTCTATTTTGTTTCCACTTTTCAAAGTCCTTGGGTGGAAGATAAATTTTGACCTTGTGCCTTTTAGCCTTACTTTTTTATGATAACAAGTTAGTTGTCAATTTTTCTTACTTTTCTTAAAAAAAAAAAAAAAAAAATTTGTAGTTGCATGAAATAAAATGAAGAACTCCACTCTCAAAAACAAATCATTCAATAGTTTCAAGTTTAAAGATCAAAAGAGAAAGATCTCAAGATTGGAGGAAGAGAGGCTCAAGAAATAGAATTTATTTTGCAAAAGGTTGAAAATATCTCTAATCATTTTGTGAGCTCAACTTTGTTTTAAAATATTTTTAACCTTTGCTTTCTTCCATACCTTTTGGTGAGACAGTTCCTTCTTATCTTTTACCCAAAAGATTTTTTATAAATTTGTCAAACTAATTTTTGAGTCCAATGTTTCAAAATGTTTTTTTGTTAAATCGTTTCAAAGTCATTTTAATGCTCTTCCAAATTATTTTTTATATATGAAATCTTGTCAAAACGTTGGACAAAAATTTCTCTTTTGTCCAAATATTTTTGTCTCACGAGTTGTTCAGGTATACTTCATGACCTTTTTTTTAAGCCCACCTAAGCATTTAGAATATTGAAATGTAACAAGCTCTTCAATAGGATCTTGATACTTGACAGCCCATTAGAAGGTTTATTAATTTTGTTCATTTTTACACCTCACAAAGGTTTTCTTCTTCTATTATACTTGAAGCTATTATTCTAATCATTCTTTAATCCTCCAAAGCTTTATGTATACAAACTTAGAAAAACTTTCCTACATTTCTATCATCCTATAACCTTTTTCTAATTAAGTTTAAATTGCATCTTAATTAGTTGAGTTTCAAATGTAATATCCTTATTCTCAATCTTATAGAGTCTCAAGTGCATGCACTATTAGTTTAGTTGAGAAACAAAATTGTAAAGTGTATAATTTGTCATCGTTGTTATGGTAAACACTTGGGCGTGTAAGAGTTAATTTTTTTTTTTTTTTCAAATAACACTAAGTGTAGCTATGATTTATAGTAGCAACATTGACAACAAATGATAACTTTGTTATACCCTATGATATGAAAGGGTGAATGCCGTAGAAGAGCCATCAAGAATGATGGTGCGCAAGGGACCCATGGGACAATGAACTGATGTCTTCTCAACCTAAGTTGTGAAGTGTTGGTATTCATAGAAATGCTATTACAACGAGTGGTTAGTGCTACGGTTGTGGTCTCCACTTAGGTTTTAAAGCGGTAAAAAGTGTGAAATTTTAAATTTCAAAGGAGATGCTTTTAGTAGTGTAGTAGATCGCACAGTCAAACCACTCTAAAAATTGGTGTACTTCTTTCCTTTCTTTTTACATTCCTAACATATTCAAATATTTATTTACTTGTACATAGGATTAAATGAAATTGGATTAATTGTGGAAGCCACCTAGTAAGAAGAAGAACACCATCCTTATTTGTGAAAAGGCTAGATATGCTTTTTACTCTATGGCTCATATGTTTAATTTATTGTGTTAGTTAAATTCTTATATTCGGTAGTCATAAATTCTCCTATTGTATTACTTGATTGTTTATAAATTTGATTAAATGTTGATTAATTATCCACATATGATTCTTATTATAACTGAGTTTATTTGACTCTCTGGCACGATTGTAGGGAGGTGGTCATTTATTTGACTCTCTGACACGATTGTAGGGTGGTGGTTTGTCATGTGAGAGACTCGTGTTAGCGGGTAACTGTGTCACATGAAAATTGATTTTTAGTAAGAGTGGAAAGTAAGTATCATTCTCAAACAGCAGTTAGGAAGGACAGAGGTTAAATACATGTGCATTGAGTGTTTGAGAGCTAACTCAAAGAAAATAAATAGGTGAATATATATATATATATATATATATATATATATATATATATATATATATATTTATTTATTTATTTATTTATTTACAATTAACAAAGAAGCAAGTAATAATTGTGTAAAAGACCATGGATAAAGAGAGGATTAACGCGCCATATACTTTACGGAGACTCGGCTCCGAGTCTCCGACTCACCCAGTCCAAAAGCCTTAGTCTGCAGTGCTTCATCTAGCATTGTATCATTCAGTAGGCATCGAATCGATGGCTGAGCTCGGTGGCAATCACACCGCTAGCGGTACTGTCGAGCTCGAAGTGATGCGCGAAGATGATTTCTCGTGGCATCCTTGTCAGGTCTCTATCAGGTGATCATCTGTTCATAGATTTCATTTTCCTAGTTTTGATTTCCATAATATGCATTTTCATGGATTTCACTTGATTCTTCATAGTTTAACTGCGATGAGATTATCAGCTGAGTCAATGATTCGTGATTAATAAAGTTAATGATATTTAGGGGTAAATGTCACTGTTTATGTAATCTGATGAGTTGCTTGTTCCAATCGCACTATTACAGTTTCCTTCCTGTTATGTTAGTTTTGATTGATATATTTTTGTTCATTTTTGTGATTATAATTAATTAATTTTATGCTTCCTATTTAATTACTAGTACTTTTAGGAAATTCTGACAATTCGAGTTAAATGCTGGTGATTGTAGAATGTTGTTGTCTGTATAGGAAACAGCCCTCGACTATATCAGTGTCCAGCTTAGTTGAGTCAAGTTGAGCTGTGCCCAGACAATTCCAACTTCATACTTCCTTTCCTTTTTTTTTTTTTTTCCCTGCAAGCATCCAACTAATAGTAGCTGCATTTTATTGTTTGATCTGTCAAAAAACCATCACAACTTACTATGCCCTTTTACATAATCTTGCAAATGCATTGGGAATAATTATTTCTCATTGATGAAATTCAGTTTCATTTTTGTAGTTTAACTGCAGTAAGATTGTCAGCTGAGATAAGGAAAATGCCACTGTTCATGGAACCTAATGAGCTACTTCTTACAGTCCAACACTATTATAAATTCATTTCCTTAATCTTTACTCTGTTAGTGTTGAATGCGATCCCAAAAGTTTCATTTTAATATCTATTGTTCTTTCTGGAAATTTTTGCTCGTTTCATGATTATTATGGCATTATGCTCATAATGAATTAGTAGCTAATATGAAATTGTGACAAGTTTAATTTAATATTGGAGATTGTAGAGTTCAGGCTTTTTAGTTTTCTTATTCCATGTAGACAACTCCCCATCAACTAAATTAGGATTGAGCTTAGTTGAGTCACGTTGAGCTGTTCTCTAAGCAATTCAATTCTTCTGTTCTTCATGCCCCTTGTTGCAAGCTTGCAACACATGCTAGTTGTACCTTAATGTCTGGTCTGTTGAAAAACCATCCCAATTCCCACGGAGTGTGCTCTTTGTCATCAATTTGCAGATGTTCCGTATATTACCTGAGCTTCTTTTGTTGTGCAGTCCAAATGGGAATGGTCTGGTTATAAAGTATGGTGATGACTGCCTGGAAGATTTAATAGAGGACAAAGAAGTGGCACTTGCACGGCTTCGAATTCGTTCTTCTCCTCTTCAAGGATCTGACTGCTCTCTTGTGAAGGAAGGTGATCATGTTCTTGCTACCAAAAAATCACAATTGAAGAGTCTCTTCTTTGATGCTGAAGTAGAGAAGGTATGCCCTTATAGTTAATTGAATTTACATCATCAAAGCTCATCCTCCTCCTGAATCTTTTCTATCGGTATAATATATGGAGATTGCATATTCTGTGGTTAATACTTAACATGAGAGTGCTGTATAGCAATTTTGCAATATTTCATGTCATTTACTAGTACAGTCTGTGACTATAATGCCTTTTTACTCGATTTTTTTTTTTTAATATCTACACAGTATATATTCATCTATATGTTTAAAACCATTTAGGAATATGAACACATTTTATGAAATCATGTAAATGTGCTAGTTTTGGATTTGGATAGTTCTGCCAAGTGTCATGGAAGCCATTAACTAAGTAGAAATCTTCAAGAAAGAGTTACATAATAAAAGTAGTGCAGGAGCTTGGACATTGATAGTTGTTCTTTTATGATCATGGGCAAACGCATGCGTCAGAGGGTGATTGACACTACTGGATGTTGAGTGATGAACTGAGCAATCGAGGGAAGAATGGCAATACCTGAATGTAATTGGAGAACGAAATATTGGAAATGTTTTGAGAGTTTTCCCACCTCTGTTTTTTATTTAACTTCTTGCTTACTTTATTAACTTCCAAATTCTCCTTTATAGACCTAGGAATTACAAGCATGCAACTTTCATAAAAGGAAAGGAATAGAAATTGCCCAACTCCCGGAAAATAAAATCAGCAACCACAAATAAAAGGAAATAAAATCAAACCAAATCTTCAATCAAGGATGCTTGGAATTAATCCTTCTCATTTACAATCAGTCGTCTTAATTTTTCTTGATTTGCTGCCTTGCGATGGTAATATTTTTCTATAAATGCATCTTGTTCCTATAGGGAAATAAACATAATAGGTTGGTGTTCAGAACTAGTATAAGTTATTGTAACCTAGTGACAAAACTATTGTATGTTATATCCTCTTAACAGTTTCAGGATAATAACTGAGATCGTACTTCTATAGATCTTGCTACAGTGGCCAGTGAGGATTTGAATCCCCCTGGGTTTAGGTACTACTTTCTAAAATAGTTTTTTGTTTTGATCCAATTGCATCAGGTGCCCTAGCTAATCACATCGCTTTAGCCTAGATGAACTGCAAAAGTAATAAGTTTAATGGTTCAAGATATTAAATCATTGTTAGCAGATGGTTAGGGATGGCAATTTCAATCCGACCCGTGGATATCCACCCGAATCCACCCCGCATGGATCGGGTTTTTTTGGGTGATGGTGGGTGGTGGGTCGGGGGTGGGTCTTAAAAAATCAAACCCGCGGTGGATCGGGTTGGATTCGGGTTCTATGTACAAGACCCGCCTAGAACCCTACCCGACCCACCATATGTGTGTGTATATATATATAATAGTAAAATAAGTACTAGTATGTAGTTATTTATAAAAGTTTATATAACTTCGTGTATCTTTTTACTATTTTTTATATCAAAACTACTAATTTTATTTTAAAAAATTAACAATTTAGTTATTATATTTAAATATTTCAATTATTTATGTTTTAGTATCACTAATGGATTTTATTTTTTTATTATGTGTAAATAATTTAAATATTATTTTTTAAAAAACATAATAAGATGATAAGTGGTGGGTACCCGTAGTGGGCACCCGCACCCGGTGGGGGTGGGGGTGGGTTCTGAAAAAGTCCACCCAATGCGGGTTGGAGGTGGGGGTGGGTGGAGAAAATATAAGGTGGGTCGGGTGATGGATGTAGCCCTCCCCGACCCACACCCGACCCATTGCCATCCCTACAGATGGTCAATAATATGTGTGCTCTATTAAGCAATATGGTCTAGTGTTTGCAGTATGGTTTTCCTATACTTTTCACCTATCAATTCTTTATCTAATTGTTTCTAAAGTCATGACATGAGCTTCATTGTTTTCTCACTGTTCTACAGTTGATTATTACATGTACTACATTTCGAAAAGAAAACGGAATAACTGAAGTAACATTACTTACTCCTGCGTGCCTCTTGTTTTCCGATCAAATTAATTTTGACCTCCCAGTTCCACAATTGACAGGCACAACGCGTTAGGCACTCAGCAAGGACATACTGTAGGTGCACTTTTAGAGTCAAATGGCTTCACAAAGACCTTGGAGATGAAGTATTGGTCCTTCCATCTTGCGCAATCATGAAATTGACTACTGAAAGTATTAATGTTCACCCAACAGTTTGTGCCTTCTTTAAATCCTTCGATAGCTCAAATTGCTTTACAAAATTGCCATTTACCACTATTTATGGAAGCACGGAAAGCAGAATGGAAACTCATGAGTTTCCAGAGGCACGAATTGGAAAGATAAGGTCTTCTGATGTTTTTGAGAAGAAAATTTCAGGGGATACTCTGTTTGGAGGTAAAGATAAACATCAATGAAATGCATTAGCATGTCTGTCACCCACTCACTTTAAAGAGATAAAAGCCAGATACTGTAAAAAGTACATAGTAATATAAATGATCTATTATAAAATTAACATGTCTAGAATCCCTAACTGGTAAATAAAACATGAAGGCGTGGGGGAAAATGTAACACCTTCAACTTAACTGTTCAAAAAAGCTTATAATGAACGAAAGATTAAAATAAAGTGTTAATATTATGTCAATAGTAATAACAGACTCCATGATGACTTGATTTTGGATAGAAGTTCAATGCACAGCTTTAACAAAGGTTCCATATACTGGAAATTGTGGCTACTAATTTCCATGATTTTCAGTGGAGTGACTTTGTTGAGTAAACAGAGTTAGTTTCTGTAATGCTGAAATTTAGAAATCTTACCTTCACACCTTGACTGGAATTGAGTGACAGCTGTGCTAACCGATCCACTTAGGTGTCTAATACATCTTATCTTTAAAACATATTTTATCCTGTTTGTAGTTCCCCTTACTTGAGAATTGCTTTTCCTTGCTCTAATTTAGACAATTCTTTCAATCAGAGTTTATCCCCATTGAGTTATAGTACATGCTTTCAAAGTTTATCCACATTTAAATACTTTATGATTTAAGCATAACACTTTGCCCAAAATCTAATGCAGTTGATATCAAAGGACAAACCCAGTCTGGAGAATTTGCCACATACAAAGTCTGCAAAACACATGTTCAAATTCCTTCTGTCACTGATCATTTAAGGTATTCTGAGCACAGAAATCAGCTGCATAAAGATAATAAAGCTGAAGCATCACCTGATGTTTTCATGCTTGTTAAAGATGAGAGTGTTGAAAGCCGATCTCCTCTAAATCCTCTTGCAGCTCGTGCAGCTCTTGCTTCATTAGTATCAATAACTCAGCATTTCTGTTTGGCTGATGATTTGACTACACTTAATGGAATCTCATCAAAATCAGAAGCTGCATCTGCAACATTAGTTCGAAGACATGAAAATCTTGTTCCAAGCAGTTCTGAAGAAAAGCATCGAGTCTCAGATGCACCTTTTAATTTTACTTGTTCACCAACAGAAAGAAAAGTTAGGCTGACTCGATCAGCATCAAAAAGAGGAAATGAAGTTTCTCACAAGTCTCTTGCAGTGACTAGTCATGACGAGGTGAAGGTAGAGCCTTCAACCAAACGGAGGCTGACCCGTTTGGCACTTAAGAGTAATCAAGAAGTTGAGAGTGTTGAAGCTGACACTGCTACTCGAGGAAATATGTCAGCTAAGCAAATTGAATGTGACTTTGTTCAGGAAGGCAAGAAAACAGTTGGCTCTTCAATTAACAAAGGGATTGTGCCACTCCCCACTGAGGAAGATAAATGTGTCTTTTATGGACTGAAAATGAATAAAGAAAATATTCATATGAAGAAAACCCCCACAGAAGAGATCAATGTGAAAAATATTAGCAGTACAAGAAGGCTAACACGCTCAGCAGCTCGTGGAGAGACTGGCCCGAATTCTGGCATAAGTTTGGAACAAAGCAAATTATATGATCACAGCCAATTTGATGCCTCTAAAGTGGAAAGTAGCATGATGGGCACACAAAAATCAAACTCTGATTCCATAGTTACTAAGGTTCAGTCTCCTCCTGCTGCAGAAGATAATAAGATAAATCAAACATACGCTACTTCAAAGAAAACTGAAGCAGATGAACGTATGTCGAGCTTGGTTTCATTTTCAATTGATTATTATCTTAACCTGTCTTTTTTAATCAACTTTCTTTGGCATCCTATTTATGAATTTCGATATCACCATCTGCTTCCAGTTCATTTACTCTTACTATGTGCAATTCTTCCATGTTGCTTTTGCTGCACTTTCTAAATGAATATCAGAGTTTTTCTATACTGATATTATGCTCTATTGTGCACTCAGATTTACTGCATATTTTTTTCAGTGGTCCTTCAATCGAAGTGCATACACAAATATCATTCTTCATTGAGTAACAAAATAGAGAAGTTCACCAATGTGATACTATTATGACTTGGACAAGTGTCCATACATTGTAGCAGAGAATATACCCATCAGTATAACATAGATAGTTTAGGTGATTTCTTTTGCTATTCTTAGAACTTACAATAAAATTGATATTGTTTCGGGTATCTCAATTAATTTTGCAGGCAATGCTAAACAAAACAAGGGCTTAAAAAGGAAGTTAATTGCATCGACAACACAGCAGTTGAGGTCTTCTCCTCGTCTTAACTCTACTCCACAGACTCGCTCTCAAATGAAGCTTTAGTTTCCCATGTAAGAGAAGTTGAAGGTGAATTCCTTGCCCACCCAACTTTGCACTTCATGTCACTTTTTTCTTTTATGGATTAACTTAGAACTAATGAAGGTTTATATGTACTTGTTGACAAAATTAATGCTGCTAGATGTTGTCTATTTCTGCTCCTTGAAGATTGCCCTGGTTTAGTAAAATTAGGAACCGGAAATGTATGTCACTTCTTCTCTGGGGAAACTACATTATAACTAAACACTGCTAAGTTTCTCTCTAATCCACCAAAAAGTAACAATGGTGATGATGGTGAATTGGTGATCTGGTGATTGCTCACAAACAACAATCATATATCATAATTACGGAGTATAATTTACTGAAAAATGTGTCTGTTATGAACAAGTCCTGCAATTAGAACTGATGGAATTTAGCAGTTTCATGTGATTGGATAATTAAGTCCAAATCATTTTTTGACACACAAGAAATTTAACACTTGTTTTAGAATTAGTGATCAGACATAGTCTAGTGCCAGATGCATCATGCTCAATTCCCAGACCCCTGTGGTTTTCAAGTTTCCTCGAGTATTTAAGACTTCCGTTGAGATTAGAAGCAAGGCTTTGGATTTCCGAGTATCTAGTTAGAGTGAGACTTAATTAGTGGTTGAAATTTTGTGTGAAAAACTACACAATTTCAGAGTTTGAAGTCGAATTTGGAGATTTTGCTTTAGGGTGTTTATCTTGAAGGAATTGCAAACTGGTTTACCCCTTACTCCATATTTTGTTTGAATCAAAGTTTGTTCAGATGTAGTTTGGCCAAGCCCAAACAGAATGTCATGTCATTTTGATAAATTGTAGTACAGTATTTTGGAGATGGTGGAAACTAGTACCAGTATTGAAAGTTGGCAATGGGATTAAGAACTACTAGCACGAGGGGTAAGTGGGTCATTATTTGGTATTTCCCCACCCTGCCGCTGGAATGGTGACTTTAAATCAAGTGGTCCACCGCTTGAACTAGCTCAGATAGAGTTATGATTCTTTGATTTTTGTTTACCCTTGGCTTTGCACAAAATAATCTTTACCTCATAGCCTTTACCTCTTTCTTCTTCCTCAATTAAATAGTTCCCTGAAGTCCATCTTTTACTATAATTGAATAATAACTAACGTAATCTATTCATAAATAAAAAAAAATATTTTAAAAAATAAAATTAAGACTTATTAAAATAAATAAAAGTGTAACATAAAACATAGAACCTTAGCACTTGGTCATCGTAGCCATCTACAAGGTTGTCAAAGGCAATAGCTAACATGCGAGGATATGAATGAAGAGCTATTGTGGTCAAGATTGAGAACCATCGTTCTCAGTTTGAAGTTATTTATGTCCAAACCATAAATCCTGCTACTTTTTCTTTAATGGAGAAAACCTGTAAGTTATTTCTTTCAAATATAATGAACAAAACAAGCACTTTGTGCTCATATGGCATGTAGTGATTTTATCATATGGAAGGTTATAAGATTGAGCATCAGTGGAGGCGGTGTTAACACTTTATGTTTCAATATGTTGAGAAAGTATAGCTTTCAACAAAAAATTGAACAACGAATTAATTTTCATTGAATGCTATCCACTATGTTTCTTTTTATACCATTATATTTATTTTGTGTAGTCAAAATCTCAACGATTTATTATTCCAAAAAGGCTGAACCCCAAATTCTCAACGTTTTATTATTCCAAAAAGGTTGAACCTCCGACAGAGTATTTGGAAGGATGTAAATCGTTCACAGAGGCTAGATCGGTGCTCACTGCGCACAAGGAACCCCCTCACTTTGAGAGGTTGTTCCCACACTGCCGCTGGTGAGACTCGATCCCTGGTCATTATTCCAAAGTTTCACCTCTATGACCAATTGAGCTACCCATGCGGGCAATTCTCAATGATTTATTCTTTCTATTGGCTAGTAATCAAAAACTAAACATATGTAAACTACTCACTACTGATATCAACATAAAATTTACGTCCTATGCAAAAAAAAAAAAAAAAAAATTAAAAAAAAATTGTCAATTATAAATTTAGCATACGGAATAATATAAACAGAACAATGCGTCTGCCGGGAGTCGAACCCGGGTTATTGCTTGGAAGGCAATTATCCTAACCGTTGGACTACAAACGCTTGTTGTTTGAAAAATGAATGAAAGTGGTTTTTAAAGGTAGAAACTTGGAATTTCATATTGTTTGATGAAAATCTGATTTAGTTCAGAATAAACCATTTCAAAAAAAAAAAACTCGTTACTACTAAAATAAAATGGAGGAATTAGGAATACATCTCTATTTCCCGCTCTTCAACACTGACACCGAATACTCTCCGTTGCTAATGCTATGGCTTCTTCTCCGACTACAAATCATGCCGCCGATGAAAACGACGGTGATATCAGCGAAATGGATAGCGGATCCAAGTCCTACTTCCAGAAAGCTGTGAATATTTTCTTTACTTTTGATAATCCTTTATTAAAACTCTGCTCTTCAAACATCTTTTTTTTTTTTTTCCTTTTAGTTTATTTTTCCCTATTTCGTAACGAGTTTAGGTTTGCCTTACGGATTGGTGGCTAGTGAAAGCGGAGAACGATTCCCGTGGGAAGAGACTCGCTGTTGGTGGTTTCACTTTACGGTAAGCCCTTCTTCACCACAAGCTGTACATACAGGCCCGAATGGAATTTGGGCGACCCGATTTCTGATTCCGATGCTCTAGAAACAGCTGATTAAGCAGACTAATCTATGTATGAAAAGCGTGAATTCTTATTTTCTTTCTTTAGTGTATAACGTTGCGAATTGATAGTCTGAATCATTGTCTCTTTTTAACACTTTGTTGATGGAATTGTTTAGTCAGTAGTTTTATTATACCTCTGTTTCTGAATTTTTGGTCACAGGCATAATGTGAGGCAAGAGTTCTCTTCTGCACCGATTGAGAAGGTGTATGATGTCTTCACGCTTGAGACAATGGATGGCATATGCATTCTCCTCAAGGGCTTTTTAAACAAGACTCGTACAAGAGAGAATGGATTTCCATCCAAGGAAAGCCCCTGATTTTGTTTTGCCAAATTAAATTATAGTGATATATCATGCTCTTAGGAAGAAGAATTATGTTTATATTCTAATGGATTCCACATAACATCCGTAAAAGCCATTTCCAGAATTCTGTTTAATTTCATTCTAAGATGCAAGTCTTTTATACTGTTGTGTTGCCAACAGGTAACTATCATATATGTTGAAATTTAGCTGTAACTGTGAAAAGAGAGTGGAAAGTAAGATTTGAGGAATATTGTAATAGAGCTCTAGAGTGTTCAATGTCGATGCCCATTGGTGCTTACTGCTTATTTTCTGTTAGATATACGGCTAATGATGGTTGAAGGCAATATCATGTGCTGCAACTGTCCATGGAGAGGCAGTAAGGCATTTACCAAATGCGAGATACATCGGATTTAAACTTTTTAAGCGTCAATTGTAAACTTAAAGATTTAAATTCTAGCATTTTCATATGTATGACCTTTTATTGAATCACTAGCTAACTGCTTATTTGGGTACTTTATGAATAAGACTGCATTCAAAATTTATTTCCGAGGATGGAGAATTTGGCTTGCATTGAATTGACTAAACATCTAGAAGTATTGTGCATGCTCTTCACTTGCCTTACCTTTGATGCCAAAAGTAGTATCATTAGCTTGAATGTGAGCAACCTACATCTGACATATGCCAAACACTTAAACAGGTGTTTGACAATTTTATTTTGGGCTTTCCCCCTAATTGGGAGAGCTTTGCCGTTAAAGATTCATGGGAAGAATCTCCACCTAAAGTTTCAGAGATTGCCATTGGTCCGCAGAAGTCATCCTCATGCTCACAAAGTAAGTTTGACTAAACTCTAGTTCATTAATAATCTGTTGTCAAAAAGTTTAGATCTCATGTCTGTAATAATTTATGGCTTGTTTTGCTACAGAAGTTGTTTTCCTTTTGCTGTTTCCAGTTATATAAAACTTTTCAAGTTTTCATATTCTACTAGGAAATTATAAAACATTTTCATTAGTTTTAAAATTGTACATATTCACCTTTTTAATAAATATGAAAACATGTTGTAATTTTTTTGTTTTTTTTTATATAAGAATAAAAATGTGGGTGAAATGTGGCAAGGTTAGTAAGTAGGATGTGCATCAAGTTAGATAAGGACTTTCAGTTATTGCAGATATTCAAATATTTGTGGCGGCCTAAAAAGCAAATTTGAAAACAGAATTTAGTTTTTGAGAAGGTGAATGTTGGCAGTGGTAACTATGGTTTGGTGCTGATGGATGGTGGTGGTCTTGGGTGAAGGTTCATGTGTGCCTTTTCTATTCTGGAAAATGAATGAAAAATGTTTTCCATTTACTTTTCCAAATCCCCTGTTTTCAGGTGGAGAACACTTTTCCCATTTAGAAACTAGTTTATTGTTTTAAAAAATAACAATAATAAAAAAAACAAGACACAGAAAATTTCCATTGTTGCACAGATCCTTATGTTTCTCAAATTTCTATTTTAATGTTTGCTCATCCTAAATATACTTATGATTTTTCTGCACTTTAAAAGGTGTTTCAGAATTTAGAAAAACGACAAGGAAGAATAAAAATGATGCCAGTAGTGCAGAAACACATGGACCAGAATGTAAAAAGAACTTGAAAACAAAAGTTGGTTCAAAGAAGGGCAACCGAAGTGAAGAAACTGAAAATAAGGCATGTCGGCAAAAGAGCACGAATAAAGCAGTCAGCATTTCCCAAAGGTTCCGTTCTTGCTACAATAAACAGAACCAAACTTCAGAGGGTGGTACATTAATTGATCGTAAAATTGCAAGTACATCTGGGAGCAAGGCAAAAAGAAAATTGTCATATGTTAGTAAGCTTTCATATTACACACACACACCTATAAATATATTAATATACACTTCTTGATTGTTTCTTGCTGGGTTATTTAAGCTATAAGTTGTGAATTTCTGAAAGAATAACGGTTCTTGTTCTCTTGTGAGATTTGGCAGAATGTATCCTAGTGGTGCTATTTTTTAAATTTAATTATTTCAGGGAGCCATTGTATTGTGGGAAGATTTACTATTTTTATCTTAGTTTGCAGGTTCATACTTTAATCTCTAATAACTTATTGACAGAAATCTGGCCATATACATTCAGACTACAATCCCCGTGAAATGGTTGTATGAGAAAATTTTTCTGCACTTTAACAAAGCTATGTTGTGTGCTTTAATAACTCTTTCAAATTAGATGTTTGTAATCTGTTTTGATGAGTTTTTCCTTAGTCTTTTATGCTTATTAATGCACCTTGTTGTAAATGCACTATTGAATAAATGTCATTATTTGTGGATTATGCTAGCAAAGGACTCATTCATATGGACCACTTGGAAGTTATTGTCTCATTTTCTGTGGAAGAGAAGAATAATTTAAAAAAAGAAAAACTATGTGGAAGATTTTGTTATATACTGCTTTAGTATGGGTTATCAACAGTTAATAATCTAGTAATTTGTTAAAGAAAATCAGTTCCATTCATAGTTCTTGTTAATATTTCAGTTGAATTTGAAAAGTTAAGTAGCCTTATGTGTACCAAATGGGTGTCCTTTGAACATGTTCTCTTTTGTTAAGATCATCTCTTAGAATAGATTGAACATTTCTTATCTGTCTTTTGGTGTTTCATTTCATTTACTCAGGAAGAACCTTTATTGGAGAATGGAAGAGGGGGGGCTTCAGCGCAATCTGCTGAACCGTCAACTTCCAATGATTTGAGATCAGGTAGACTGAATCCACTTCTAATGCAAGCTACTTGTTTATTCTCATTGTTAGAGTTGTAGCTAACTTTCCCTGGTTCTGATGTTACATGAATGTATCTCTGAAAGAGATAATTGACAACAATCTTAGAGGAAACTCGGAAGATGAAACTTCTAAGGGGGAGAATCAGAAAGATGGAGGTGTTAATAAGGTTGTCATACAAAAGAATACGAGTAAAGCTGCCCAGTCATCTGTTGACTTTGGTTGTGCACGTAGTGCAACACCGGGAAAGGTAAAAAATGACAAGTATTGCATATGTATGGATTACTCATTTGTTAATTGAATTCCTGCAATTTTTATTACATATGAATGAAATCACCTTCGCTGCTGTTAATACTGGAATCTTCTGTAGCACAGAACAGACAAAATGGAGTTTCAGCTGTCACCTCTCCACAGTCTCTGAGTTATAAAAGATCCAGATCAGGTTTATTGGTTATCTGAGCTAGCAAACTCTCACTCTGCAAAATTCAATGAATACTGCAACTTAAACTCATTGGAACATCATGATTGTTTACTCCATTCATGCTGTTGGATTTCTTCCGAAGAATATTATAGGTTGATGTGTTTTTTTTTATATTCTGCAGGGAGATTGCTTCTGCCTCCTCTCAAATTTTGGCAGAACCAAAGAGCAATATATGATTCGGTTTGTACCTTGATTACTTTTTGCATAATCTTCAATATATATATAAGTATTCTTAAATATTGGCTTTCCTTTGCCATTTTATTTTGTGGATTTATATCTGGATCTTCCTATTGGTGACCTTATATGTTACTCATTTTCAGGACCGTAGAGTCACTGGAATTGTGAAAGACCCAGATGCGACCATCTAGAGGTCTGTTAGTCTATACCTTTGAGAGCTCATCTATAATGCTGTAGTGAACGATGAATCCTTAATCAGTGAAATGTTTTCAGTACACCAACCAACCTTGATTCATGCATTTTGTATTTGTAGCGAGCAAGGAAGGTAGGAAGAATGAAATCATGAATTATGAATGAAGCCTTCCTATGTTTTAGGGTTTGAGATTGAAAGAAAGGTTAATTGACCATGGTCCATGGATGTATAGTATAGTAGACTAGTAGTAGGTTAGATTGTTTAGACTCAGTTACATTAAGTTACAATATAATATTGAAGCTTTGGTCTATACGGGAGAGTTAAATTTTCGTCACATAAGCATAAAGTAAAAAATTAGAGTACCAGAAATTTGAACTGAGTCTCCACTCTCCAGTGGCTGTTCTCAAGCAAGAAGGGAAACACAGCAAGTTCAGTTTTAAAGGTTTATATACACTTGAGGAATAATAAACAAATAATAAATTCCAACCGAAATGAAAAACAGTAAACAAAAAAGAAAAAGAAAAAAACAATTATCATCTTACATGTTCCAATGTGGTTTGAATTTCAATTACATAAAAAATGGTCTGGAAAAGAAAAAACACACTATTCAGCTCTTTCTTTTCTAAGGTTTCTTCATTTACTGGGAGGAAGCAATTAGTCCTCCTTGTCTTGCAATTTTACAGGATGTTTGAACTCACAAGCCCTTCCAGCAAGTTATGCCATTATAACTAGATTTAGAAGGGAAAGTTTTTTAGGGAAGGTTCAAGTAATAGCAATTGCTACCCTCAGATCAGATGAACCCTCCATCTGTCCACTTGGTATCTGATTTTCCATTAGAAGCCACATGTTTATCATCAGATGTACTCTGGTAAAAGTTGTCGTATCCATCATCTTTAGCATCATCCCAGCCTGCCCAGTCATCATTGTTACTAGCTGTAGCTGTAGCTGGTGAACCCTTCTTAGGTTCCTCCCAAGTATCTTCTTTACTACCCCAATCATCCCAGGAGTCTGAGCTGACAGAATTAACTTGATTGACAGATGAAGACTGCCCAGCTCCTGAAGAACTCCATCCCTTCGAGTCCTGATTAAACTCCTGATGATAGCCATTCTGTTGGTTATTGTCTTGTTGCCAATTATCATTTTTCGAGTCAACATTGCCCCCCTCTTTAGTATATTCATCAACCTTCTGTGAAGCTAATGCTAGAACCCCTTTCATAATACCCCAAGTCATATGACCAATCTCAGTTGTTTTTGTTGTAACAACGTTCACCGTTTCATTCACCTTTGAATCATAACCTCCCTCTATCACCTGTAATGAAATGGTTAACACATGCATCATAATTTATGCCTGCACTGCCATCATGGCTCAGTAACATTAAAACACAACAATTTGGGATTTCATTTTCTTAACTATAGCGTTAATTTCATTTCAGCAATAAAGTTTGTTTCTTGGGGAAAAAAATTAGTCCATAAAGTCGTAAACCAAACATGGGACTAAACTACGTCGGGAAACATCATACTTAGGACACAACACTAAGGGGTTTGAACTAAACGGCCCCATAGAGACTTATCTATTTGGGAGGGATCAAATCCCCATAGAAATCCATTTTGAGCTAAATGACTCCAAACAGTTTATGTATTTGTCCATATCGTACTCCACAATTCAGATGAGATACAATTAAAAAGAAGCATAGTAGAGTACCTTTGTAGTAATCTCTTTGGTCCCTGCTTGAACTACATTTGCAGCTGACTGGGCTGCTGTAGCAGCTACCATTGATAGCTTACCGAGCCCCTACACAAACCATTCCAGATTCACATAAGCTTTACGAAGGCATATGATCATGTACCCATATAATATATCACATAGAGATCAAGTTTACAAAAAAGCATGTGAATTGTGATTATGTTAAGATTAAAAGAATTATGATTTCTAATATAGATATAGATTACCTGAGAAACAGATGAAAGAACATCCCCTCCTTGAGAATAATTGTTATTATTCCTAGGCATCTGGGAAGGACTAGATCCAAACCCAACATATTTCCCTCCCTGAGAGGGTGGAAGACCCTCAGGCCGGGACTCATTCTCCGCCCTTTTCCTAGCAAAAAAAGTTTCTTTATTTGCAGCAGAGGTTTCCAGCTGCGCCCTATAAATATCCTCTGTTGATCTCGACCTTGATGGAGCACCACCACCATCGCCGCCTCTCCTGAAATCACCCACCGTCTGATTTCTCCGTATATTATTATTATTACTATCATTGTTGTTATTATACCCTCCATCATCGTAGCTATCCCAACTATCCCACCCGGAATCGCCACCAAAGTCTGAGGCCGCTTTCCTACCGCCGCTCAAAGGGGGCTTACCATTGGAATTGGCATTGGCGTTGCCGGTGAGAGTTTCTTTGACGACGGGAGGGTCCCGCCACGGCTTCCCCTCCGCTAGGGCTTGGATCTTATCCCGGTAAACCGCGGCGGCCTTGGTATTGTACTTGGCAACAATATCGGTCGATTTAGGAATCCCGTACTGAGCGATGAAGGAATTGAACTTTTCATTGCCGCTCATCTCCATTTTCCGGAGCTGGATCTCGGACCAGGAATCCATGGTCACGGATCGCACGAACGAAATGTGGACTCCGAGGCCGCGGTGCTTGCCGGAGCACTCAAGGCACATGAAGACGCCGTAGGAGACGGACGCCCATTGCGGATTCTTCTGAGAGCAATCCACGCACATCCTGTTCCCCGGTTGCGCTTGAAGCTCCCGGAGACGCCGCGATGCCGCCATGCTTAATCAATCAAATCCCTACCCACCCAATACCCAATTCGATTAGGGCTCGCGTCGCGAAATCGGATGGATTTTTGCGATGAATGTTGAATCAAGATCGCGACGCATAAATCAAATGTTTATCGATCAGATCATATTGAGAAAAAAAGAAAAATTAAAAAGGTGAAATTATTTATTATTTTTGGGTAAATAAAAGAAGAGGATGGCCGAACCGAGTGATGTCAAATCACGGCCGGTGCACAACTGCACATGTAAAACAAGTTATTATTAATTAAGAAATAAATTTTTAAGAGAAATAATTTAATTATAAAAATTTTTTAAAAAATTTGTACAAATTAAAAGAGAGGAAGCAACAAAATTAGATGTAGTGTGATAAAGTTTCTCCAATACCGTATGTTATTATTAATGGTTGGGATTTAAATGCATGAACACCAATGAGAAAAGTATATAAATGTGTGGTCATTCATTTTGGACAAATATATATCTCTCTATAACGATGTTTTGAGAAAAATAGTGTAATTTATTATATATTAAATTATATCTACTCATTTTCAAAAAAAAAAAAAAATTATATCTACTCAGTTACGTTCTATCCGCAACTTTATTTATATATAGTGTAGTACATGACGCTGTTTTAATTTTCTTGTCATTATGGTACAATGTAACTATTACATGATGAATAGCTTTGTACCAATAGCTAGCTAGTTTATTATATCCCCCTAAATAATTAATTAGGGTTTAAGGAACTTGACTTTATTGTCATTTCTACTATCACAAATCCAGAAAGCGCCGGGGCATGGAAACTTGTTGCCCTGTCGAGTAGCGCACAAGGTGATCTGGTCTAGAACGCTGTTCAAACCATCCTCATCTTCTCGACAAGTTACTGCCGCTTCCCCTAATCCTGCTTTCTTTACCGCTTCATTGATCGCCTCCCCTGGATAATACGTCCCGTTTGGTTTGATTCCTGCAATCATTATCCAACCAAACTTATAACTTACCAGAAAGCGCCGGGGCATGGAAACTTGTTGCCCTGTCGAGTAGCGCACAAGGTGATCTGGTCTAGAACGCTGTTCAAACCATCCTCATCTTCTCGACAAGTTACTGCCGCTTCCCCTAATTCAAATTAAATGAATTAAATAAGCTAAGCTAGGTAGCTAGTTACCTGCATCACTCAAAAGTTTGAGGAGATTAATTTGCCTTTGTACTCTAAGGGCAGCTGCAAAGTAATCATGCAGATCAAGAACTGATTCTGCACAACTACCATACTTCACCCACTCTTCTTTCCATAACTTCTTACTGTCCCTACTAGGGCAGCTCAGAGATGGCCAATACCTTTCCAAACTTGAAGCTAAATCTGCAATCTATAAAAAAAACTACAATTAACTTAAGAAACAGCTGAACTCCATAAGCCCCCACCACAAATAGCTCATATGATTCCTAGGTGCTTGTCCCTACCGAACCGTGATGTGGGAGTTACACCCAATTTAGTGGGCACCAGAGACTGATCCTTCCACCTAATGATATCGTTGATTTACCATATCCACAAATCCTATCAGGTCAGGGTGTGGGCTGAGGCGATGCCTTTTGTGGGTAAGGTGAACTCCATAAGAAACATATCAAGTATTAAATTAAAAACATGTTTAATTAATTACCTGAGATGGCTGGAATTTGGTTGTTGTGTTGCAATTTTGTGGAATCCCTCCATCTTGGGCATAAAATGGCTGGAACTCAGAAATGATGAAATCATTCAATATAGGCTCTCCCTTCTTGGGGAGGCAACACCCTTCTTTGCTTTCACATTTTGTCTTTGGCCACTGATATGATATGATTAACCACAAGATTAAATTAAAGAAGAGAAATTATATATATTATTAGTAGCTGGAATTGAAGAAGAAGAATATATATATATATATATATATATATATATATATATATATATATATACCTGGAAAATGATGAAGAAGTAATCGGGAGTGGTCTCGGCGGTGAAGACGAGCGAGGAAAGTGAAGCAAGACAGAGTATTAGGAGGAGAAAGCGTGGGATAAATTTGTTCATGTTTCTTCAATTTTTCTTTGGCACAAGTAGAAATTAAAGATGACTGAAAATTTGCCCAGTGTGGTAGTGAGTAGTGAGCTGGAGGACATGTAGTAGGGGCTAATATTTATAGGTTGTTCCCAGTATATCCTTGCATTTAATCATGCGCGCTTTCAAACTCGTCCAAATTGGTGGGCGGTTTTGACCTTTACCTACCCCAACTCCCCCATCCAAACTCATGCTAGCTGTATGTAGCTTGCTTATTTGATAGCCCGCTCAATAAAGTGCCTGCATGAATAGTTCAACTGGTCATAAGGATGAAAGTTAAAAAAAATGACTAGGGATCTCGAGTCTCACTGAGTCTCACCAACAACAAAGAATATGAGTCAACAAAGTTAAGCTCCGAAAACTAAAAAAATATTGGTGTAGTTATTGATTGAAATGAATAATTCATATTATATCGATTTTAATATATTTTTTTAATTATTTTTCTTTTCATAGAGAAGGTTTTAGGTTTGAATCACATTCCAATCGAAATTGACATAATTGTTAAACATATACTATGAATATGTTAGAGTATATTAAAAAAAATACAATATAACAACTAATGTGATTGCTCACTCTTTGGCCAGAGCTTCTTGCTCGTATACTAGTAGGGAGGTGTGGGACACAGATATCCCTCATTGTATTCGTGATTTGATTTCGCAATAATAGTTCGCTTTGATGGTCGTTTTAAAAAAATACAATATAAAATTTAACATAAACTTTGGTCAATTAATTAGAATCACGAATTGGACATTGATGAAACAGTACACTTAATTTACAATATATATAATATATTCAATATAGATGAGAATCTATGCCTATATCATTGTCTTTTTGGGGAAAGAGAATTTGGTTCTGTTTTTGAATGTGCAATGCGCCAACACACTAAAATTTGCAGTGAAGCACATTAGGAGAATTGATTAAATCAAGAATTCATTTATCGTGGAAGTGGCAACAAGAGGAAGCATGGATCATGCCAATTAATAGGGTTTTGCATAGCAACAAGTATGATTATGGTACTATTCAGTGAGGGTCCTTCTCTCTAAAACTGTTATTACACCAATTAATCCAACATTCTGCCACATGTCATAATTATGCATTCTTGAAATATTTACTTTCATGAAATTTTGATAATCTTGCATTGATATACGTCAGGATACTGAATGATAATTTGATAAATTTTGCAAAACTAATATAAAAATACATGTTGAGCATTGGACTATTTGCGAAATGCGTGTGTGGTAACTAATTCATCTAATAAGAGCAAATAAAGTTAAGCCTATAAAGAAAACTAAAAAATGTTACTCTAATTGTTTGTTGAAATGAATGGTTCATATTATTTTGATTTTAGTATTTTTTTAAAAAAAATTATTTTTCTTACTTTACTCGGTATTATATCATTTATTTTTTCTAAATCTCTCCGCATTCTAAACTTTAGAGCATTCATTTGTTGAGGTTTTTTTTTTTTTTTTTTTTTTTTTTTTTGGTTGAGCTTTTAGGTTGCCATTTGCCAAGTAGGAGAGATGAGAGAAGGAAATGTGAGAAAAAGAAAAGGAAAATAAAATAAAATAAAACAAGTCTAACAAATGAAAGAAAAAAAAAGAGAGGATATTTTACGCGCCCAACCTGACGCTGGTACACGTGCCCAACAGTTGAACTCCATAACCCGGCTCGCACAAATAGTTCATATGGTTTCTGGGTACAGATTGTAAGTAAGAACGCAAAATCACCACAATGTGAAGTTATTAGTTACAATCCAATATAGGAAATTTTTTGTGGGTCCCCTACTTAATAGGTGTCGAGTTATCATGATTTACTACTTTCACAAATCTTATTGGGCTGGCTCAGGGGCGAGGGATTTCGGTGGGGGAGGCAAATGCCATGGAAAAATGACTAAAATGTGTAAGTAGGCACATGTATTTATGAAAATATGACGCTGCTGGGGATTGGACGAAAATATGAAAAACATGTTTGGGAAATGCGTTTTATCACATTTTCAGTCAAACATGATGGATATATAATTATGTATAGAATGTGTAAAGAAGATTTTGCTTAAAGATGGAAAATAAATTAGACCAATTGGAAAAGTTAATGAATATTAATAATTTACTCAAAATTAAATATGATCCCCATATATAATTCACTGAACACTGATATTTAAAATCTCTAAAGTTTTAGCACCAGATGCGTACATCTACACATTGACTACGGATGCGTACATCTACACATTGACTACGTATGCGTACATCTACACAATGACAATTAATTGGGCAATTATTTGATCGAATTCAAGCAATGATAACATCAAAAAGTACAATCGATTCAACTCAATTTTTCAATTGCATTATATAATATTCGATGTAATAATTTATATAATTATATATTGATCAAATATTCTTAAAATATTTTAACAAATCAATTCCGTGCATCGCACGGTCGAAAGTACTAGTACAAGGTAATAACAAATTTGTAGGAAAATGCATCTATTGCATGTCGTAAGTGTTATGCTTCTAACATTTCCCTTTGTTACTTTTTCTCCCGAGGATTGAATCTCCAACTATAAAGGTCTCTCGTGCTGCCTACCAAAATATTTGGGAGGAAGTAAATTAGGGTAACTCAATACATGACTCATCAGACGTGATCAAATGCGAGTGCGCACAAAGAATCTGTCCACTTTAACATGATTTGTGGGACGTACACGTTCTTACTTATTGCTTTATTATTATTAGTATTTTTTTTTAGTGGTTTGTGTGATACGTTGTTATTTTATGTAGCTTATTGTTGATTGTAAAAAAAGTTTTTTTTTTTAAAAAAAATATTTTTGTTACAGCTAAATTCCCAAAAATAGCATGTGAGACCAAGGGTACATGACGAGGTTTGGCCAATCTTAGGCTAGGTCCAGCAAATTATATCATGGACCTAGGTCATAAAATAATATTGTTACGTTAATCATAAATTTAGATATATCAAATTTGAGTGGACAAATTATATTATGGAATAAGATTCTGTGAGGCCATAAATGGAAATTTGATTCTAAATAATTTTTCCCAAAAATACCAGTCATAGTAATCACAAATAATCCAAAATTTGTACCACACATAATTTTATTAAAACCGATTTATTACCGATGCGCGCTGTTAGGATAATTGAAGTATTGATTTTTCAAAGATATAATGAATTACCCAAAAAAAAAATGGAGTATTCAAATATAAACGTTTTCTGTAAATTTGGACAAAGAAAGAACACATTATATTTTACTTTTGAATAATTTATATAAAAAAAGTTTTGGTATAAATTATCACAGTAAAAAATAAAAATAAAAATAATAATAACCATGATTTATATTTTGACATATAATAATGAATAAAAAGAACAGCAGATAAACGGAGGTGGAAAAGTGTCCTAGATTCCTAGATTAAGTTAAAAACCCATAATCTTAACTAATAAATGGGATAATTTGAGTTATATTTGATTATTTTTTCTCAAAGTTATTACAAACGTGTCCTATACGGGTCTAATTCTAGATGTCTGTCTCGAGATGTTAAATTCTAGTTCTAATGTTTTAATTCGTTATGTCTGTAGATTTATAAATTAGTTGGCCCATGCGCTTGCTAAGGTTGTTGATTCCCGTACTAACCCTGGTTATTGGATGATTTGATTGTCCCCTAGTTGTATTTCAAACTTCTTCGTGCCGGCTTAATATATTAGGTTTTTGGGTAAAAAAATTGACAATTGTTCTTAAAGTTGTAGTTTAGTTGGCAATTGATGATAAATTTAAAAAGGAAATATTCTTTTTTATTACTGTCTTTAATTTTATTCTATTCAGACTTACTAATCTCTTGCTCAATTTGTATTTGTAATTTTTTCTATTTCTAGTTAATATACAATAATGGACCATACCTGCATGTAAAGAATACTAATTAATATGTATCTGTTTTTAACATTCATTTTCAACTATATATATAGAAGTATTAAACCCTTATTGGGAGAAGTATTAAACCCTTGTCCATAAGTATTCCTTTCATCCCATTAAATGAAAGTTGAGTCAAGCTATAATTAATTCGATTGGTATGATTTCAATATTATCTATTTAGGAGAACATATTAAATATAGACTAAATACACTTTTGTAATTACAATTTAAATACTAATTAAGTAAATCTATTGTCATCTACTAAATCCATTTTTCACTAAAAAAATAATCCGCAAATTGGTTGACAAGGCACGTGATATTGGAATGAGTTATTTGGAGTAATTATTGTTGATACCTATCTCGATGATATTTTACAAATCTTGACAGTTGAATGTGTTGGAGTGATTTTTCCAAATTAAATTATTGCAATCAAATTGGCAAATTATATTTGGCCACTTCTTTTTGGTACCGAAACTTTACACAAATAATATGGGTATGTTTGGTAAAATAGTTAGTCTATCAGTCAATTTTAGTTCATTTGATTACTATTAGTTATTTGACTTAGTAAAAAAAATCAATATGATTATTTGATTAATTAGCTTTTTGTAACGCTTATTTCTCTAAAACACTAAAATTCAAAAAGCTATTCAAAATATCTTTTCCGATAAACTTTTTGAGAAAGTTATTTTGCATGTAATCAGCGATCAATTAACAGCTAACAACTAATAACAATAAATTTACCAAATATCTTTTTACAATAATCAGGTAATGTTATAGACTAATCAAACCCACTAACCGAATTAGCTAACAGCTAGCAACTATTTGACAAAGCTTCTTTATGAGCTTATAATTTATTTTAAACTACTAATAAGCTATAAGTTTTGTTTGGTAATATTCTCAAACTAAACTAGTAGTCTAAAATAAGAGTTTATTTGAATATTAATTTGTGTTAGAGTTAACTAATTTATTAGTAATAAAATCACGTGCATTGCACGTGCAAATTACTAGTTAGTATAAAATCACTTTAATATATTAACATATAAAAATTCATTTACTCCAATTCCTATATATTTAGGCAAAGTACTCATCTCGATCTCGATCTCTTCACATGAAATTTATCAATCCACTCGTCAATATTAACATTTATGCATGTTTTTTCCTATTTATTACATATACAGTTGATTATCACATTATGCCTATAAGCTAAGAAATGTTATTTCTAATAAACGGTAAGATCGATAGGGAGAAATATGAAAATAAGCACAAATATTGACCTAATAACAGATAGTGCTTAGGCAACAACTTATCCCAGACACGTTTTTCTCGGATTAAGGATAAATTTTTATCCTCACCCACACTTATATAAACCCTCTAAACTAAACAATCCCTAATCCCTAATTCGAGTGATTTTTTTCAACTTCTTGTGTTTCCAAGTTATCCGAGACCCATGTTACTAAGACAAGGTAATAACAAATTTGTAGGAAAATGCATCTATTGCACCTCTTAAGTGTTATGCTTCTAACATTTCCCTGTGTTACTTCTTTTCCCGAGGGTTG